CTTTGAACTCAGTCGCTCTGCTGAATCTTTTGATGTTCCATGCTTCATTTAACCAGAGGGTTCAGTCTGGAAAGTAAACCATTTAATCTAAAATGCCTTTCTTTATATAGTTAATGTGTTATCAGATTACCGAATTAGTTTGCCTGTGCTTATAATCTTTTATTGAAAAAAAGAAATTCCGCTCATACTGGTCCCCAAAAGGGAGTCAGCATGAGGAAAAAAAACAAAAACTCTATAACACACAAAGAAAACACAGATATCATGACACCATAACACAATAAATCACAGACAAGGTACATGGGAAAATATTCCAGTGTGAACAGTTGCATCTGGGACGCCGCAATCTCGCGATTGCGCCTCCGGCTGAGCCGATGTCCACATCGGATGGGAGGAAAGCATGGGAGGTGTTGGGTGAGGGCGTATCAGTATCAGTGTACGTGTGTGCGTCTGTGTGGGGATGTGTATCCTGTGTTCCGCCTGAGAGAGTGTCCTTTCGACTATTAGGTGAAAATCAACAGTCCGCAGCCTACGCAGGTGGCCTTGTGGAATAGGGCAAGAGAGTCAGTTCGTTCTTGGTATTGTATCTCTGGGAAGAATTGTTGTTGTTCTCCTCGGCATCAACCTTCAAGCATTGTCCAGCTGGCGCCGTCGGGGTGGGGGTGTTGTAAATGTTGTTTTGGGATGAACAAACTGTATCAATTTTACAGTTGTTCTTAATGTCCATCACTGGTCTCCTGTATCATCTGTTTTAGAACCGTGAGCTCCTCCAAGATCTTTCCCATATTGCGTTCAGTAAGAACAGTCTGAGTACTCACAGCTCTTCCCACATTTTCGATAATAGCGGCCAGCCTTGTGGGGTTTTGAAAGGCATTCACCGCTTTCTTCAATTTCCGATAAGCCAGGGCCAAGCCAGCTCCGATCAGCAAGAACCCCGTTATCATGGTTCAGAACAGGTAGATGTCTTCAATGTCCTCAATAGACAGTCCAACCAGGCACACGACGTGCCACTTCTGCCACTCGTCCATCGATTATCCAGCAGGGAACGTCCCTCCAGGACACTTGGGCTCTCCCGAACCCAGGCTTCTCGTCGAGAATAGAGGGCCAATTGCATTGACAAATATCCAGTTATAAGAACAAGTGACACAAGCAAATGTCATAGTTTGGTTACTAACTGGACAACTAGAGGAAGGACAGAAAGGCTATTAACTATTAACTGAAACAAACAGCCAAAAAAAAGGCTGTGGCACCCTCCAGCCTTAGAGTAACCCACACTTGATTGTTCTATTCAGGTGTCGGAAGCATGGAAAAACATGGAAAAAATAAAAAAGACTCCCCTCACTGGTGAATCACCAGCACAAAGCAAAACTAACAATTTCATCTGAAACTTAAAAGTTAAACAGGGAGGACAGCCAAAAAACAAAACAAAACAAAAAAAACCACAGGCCACAAATCCAACCCAGCAGTACCATTACAACATCTTCCCTTCGCCTCCAGGCAGCTGTAGACAGTTTTTCAGTGGAAGAACATGAAATGTAGTATTAATTTTGGCAGCAGGTAGTTTTAAAAGAAAAGCTTTTGCATTGATGATTTTCTTCGTTCCGAAGGGTCCAGTATACCTGGGTGAAAGTTCTTAGTGACACAAAAAGTGAGTGACGAAAATCTTCTGAAAACAGAGACAACTGTTACTTCAACAGAAGGTTGGTATGGAAGTAAAGAATGAAAGGAAGAGAGACCAGCTACACCAGAAGTTAGAGCATTGTGTGCATATTCTATCCATGTGTAAAACAGCTTCAAACCCTTAATTTAGTCTTTCAGTTTGGACCTGATTTGAAATGATCTTTTTCTGAATACAAATCTACAGTGAAGATAACGCTGTTGCCTTGTGATCAAAGTACGCAGGAGACAAGGTCTGAAGTTATGTGAGTCAGCAAGGGCTGTAACTAACCTGAGGTGGGTTAGGAAACAGTTTTATTTCTAGCAAAAATATTTGTGGGTGTCCTTATCTAGAGTGGTCCACCAAGTGGCAGGTGAACTTGGCAGTGTGGGCCCAATGGATAATCCATGAGTGTATTGAGAATGACCTATAGAGTTTGCTAGGATGGGCTTGAGCTGGAATCTGGCTCAATAGATTAAACATCTGGTTAAACAAACTTTAAACCTCCCAACGCACAAGATAGTGACAAAGTGGTCTCTTTAGCTGGTTAACTAGATTCGGTGGAGAACTGCTGAGACAGCATCTGATTGAATGTTTCATGAACCAGAGTGTTAGCGAAATTAAAATGACCCCAAAACAGTGACCATCTAGCCTGCCTGGAGTTTAATCATTAGATTTTGCAAGAACGATATACTCCTGTGGCCAGTCTGATGCTTTCCCCCTTCATCCAGTGCCTCCAGTCCTCCAGAGCTATCTTCCCAGCTAATAGTGCATGGTCTAAGATATAGTAATTCCTTCATGTGGAAGACAGACAGTGGGAGAAAAAGACACAATGGTGGAGTTTAGCTTTAGAGCCAAATTACCTCAGCCACAAATTGCTAGTGTAGGTCTGGCTAAGTCTAGTGCTGAGTTGAAGACTCTCCCTAATTCTTGTAAATTATTCTTAGCCTCTGAAGTGCACTTGCAGGTCATTGCACTGTTGATTAAGAATATCTTAAAAGTATGTGTTGAACACATTTGAATAAAATGTATTTGGATAAAAAAAATCATTGTAATTTTCTTTTGCAGTCATGGATACAGGTGATCTTTTGTTAATCACAGTAAAATTCCTGCTTATGTTAATGGCACTATTTACAAATAAAGTCTTTCTATTAAGTCTGAAGCTATCTATAATTTATTTTCCAGGTTATCCGAACAACACCACCCATGGAACAGAGTCCAATCAGTGATACTTCTCCAACATCCACCTATAGCTTTGTGAGACCTCACTCTGGACCCAACAGATCCACTGAGGCCAGAAGCAAAGCTTTGCCCGAGAGCTTGTATGCCCAGGTAGAAATTCATCTCAGATCCTAAAATCTCTTCAGAAAGCTTGAAACCTGGATCCCCCGTAGCTGGTTACCAAGATTACGTGAAGTACCCTCAGAAGGTCTACTCGATGATGTTAATGCAGCACTATGGATGATACCTACAGCCACGCTTACCGAGACTAACAAGCTGATCTACAATACGGCAGCAGTGATCAGTGAGATGCTTGTGAGACTGCTTTGAACAGCACACGAGGGACCTTCATCTGGTGGTTCTTCTTCTCCTTTAGTTTGCACCGAAAAACTTTCCCTCTGCTTGGAGTGGATATATAAGATTGTGGGGTGTTTCTGATTACAGACCTTACGTTTCTATGGAGAACCACAAGAGTCACACGCATCGAAATAAAGAATTCTGTGCTTAAATAATGAATTGTAGAAGGAATTGTGCATTTGTGAATTCATTTTTTGAATTCCAGTTTAATAAACTGATTTTCAAAATGCTTTTTAAAAACTTCATTTCAAAAACTTTCTTTGAAGTTCAATTTAATAAAGTGATTTTCTAAATGCTTTTCAAAATGGCGATTCCACTCCTCATTTCAAAATTCATTTCCCTTTCCTGTTCGCTCAGGAAGTTCTGCATGTGTGTCCATGTCATGTCATTCTTTGGAGAGACAAAGTGTGAAATGGATACACTGGACCAGCATGTCTATTATGCCTTTATGCATTCATAGTTCTTAAAAACTCCATCTTATCATCTCTTGTATTACCTGCATGGGTTGATCATTATTTACACTGGGCCCAATAGTTCCGATTAACCACTAGCCAATCAGAATGCTTAGCAGTCCCCCTGCCTCTATAATCAAGAGCTCAGTCTGATGATATAGTTGCAGAACATAAATCTGAGGGACTATAAGCGGACTAATGTTGCATTCATAGAAAGTACATTTGTTTTGTGAAAACTCTGTTTCATATTTTATGTTCTGAGTTAATTAGATCAGGAAAGCGGAGCCATGCTTGACACCGTGTTATTACTGCCAATGTAAGAACAAACTACTTTGTTACAGGTAACAGGTAACAACAGAGTCTGTTAGCACTGCTTCACTATTTCAGCTAGTAAGTTTATTGTCATTGGGGAGAGCTTATGATTTATAATAATATATACCAGTTTTACTGCCAACACCTATATGTAAAACCTAAAAACACATGTCAGAGGGTAAGTGGGTGATTTTGAGTCGAGTATAGTGCAATGTTGATGTTAAAATGATACATTTTTTTTGGGTGTAAATATGATTCTGTCTTCATTATCCCATATATGACTGTGTTCCTGTGATTTTGACCCTGTATGTCTGCTTCCTGCCTTACAGTAGGTGCGGCCTTTTTTTGTGTAGCTGACTCTTCTCTGCAATTAGTGAGCTGTGCATTGTGGCTGCTTACTCCTGCTTTGTGAAGAGGAGCGTATGTTGGTGATTTAACATCACTTTTATGTTTAGTAGCCAACTCTTGTCCTCCTGAAATACAAAGGGACCCCAAATCTTCTCAAAGTGAGCTGCAATCCACTAAAGAAAACCATGGAAGTCCAAATCCTTCTCAGAATTATAAGACAATATGGCAATGCTGATGATGAGCAGAGATGGAGCTGAATCCAAGTCCACTTTGTAAGTCCACCTTCTGGGCAGCCATCAATCCCTCTGGTGTCTCTGCTGGAATTTCCAACTGTGAGCTGATTTCCAATTTTATGTCCAATTATATATTATAAAGAATAAAGTTACAACTAGCAAAAACACACAAAGAAAAGAGTGATTTAGCACTTTAAGCCTTTTCACCCTCTCTCAGATGTAATGAGAGGTGAACCGAACTTCAGTCTCTCTCGATCCGACCGTTCTCCACATCAACACACAAACCTGATTTGTAATTTCCGAAATTGCACGTATTTGATTCCTCTCAGTCCCTTCCACCAGAGATCCGAGTGACGAATGTGAGAATAGGGTATTAGAAAAGGAACTTAACAAGTACATTCTGGCAAATGACTCAGTTGACTGGAATCAAACTGTCACGTGTGCAGGGAGTGTTTCTGCTTTCTCAAACCAAAGCTGTGAAGCTGTATCAAGATGGAGCGGATTGTGTTTTTTGGCACTTTTTTATGGCTGTGTTCATGTGAAGTAAATGGTAAGAACCAACTTTTATACTAACTGGGTGAACTCAATTTATCTTTAAACCTAGGTGTTACCTCAGCACTAATGAATGTTGTAAAATTTGTACAGCAAATGAAGTCATTAGGGAATGAGAGGAAGAAAGTCAAGTAAATGTAATATAAATAAATAATAAACAGGTATTGACATGTTTTATATAAGCTGACAGGCACATCATAATACATCAAATGGAGAGAGAGCATTTCTGAAAAAAAATTCCAGAGCGCTGTAAGCTACTAGGAAGTTTGGGCTAACCGTTACAAAAGTGGTTTTGTCACAGTCCTGGGTGCGTGTGTTTTAAGTTCAACATTTTAATTTAATTTTGTATTATATGTCAAGAGTTTTGTTTTCTAGATGTATTTTATGTTTTGTTTCCCAGCATTATAAAGCTCATTTCTGTTTAGGTTGTGTTTTTTTCTTTCATAATGTTTTAATCATAAAAGACATAATTTGTTCATGTCTCCCCAAGAACACTTATTGCTTATAGTTAATTCCCAGTTTTCCTGCTTTTCTGTGTTCCGTGTGTATGTTAAGCCAGTGTTCCTGTGATGTTCCAGTATTAAGTTACTTGCTTGCATTCAATTTAGTTGTATTTTCCTTGTCTCATCCTCATTTCAGAGGATCTGCAGTACACACCATCATATGCAGTGAGGTTGTTGTGCTGTTAGTGAGATAAATGACAGAGAGTGACGTTTAGGTAGTTGCTCTGTATTATGTTGGTACATGACGCAGATGAAAATAAAAGAAGAGGGATCACTTCCTTAAATTTAGTTTCAGTATTTTTAGATGGACGCGTACAGATTTGTTTTCCTCACAGTGTTGTATAGTTCATTATTATACATTTAAATACTATTTATAAGTGATCAGATAAAAATTGGGAATATTTTAAATATTTTGTTTCTATCCCAAATGTCAGGACAAGTTTGATTTAAAATAATGAGGGAGTTCCCCCCAAAACACAACTGAAGGTTTTGGAGAGACAATGTGACAGAACAGTTGTGGAAGTAACATTAAATAACTAATAGCAAACAGACTAAATCTTTCCCTGCTGCTCAGAACTCTGGATAGTCATGTTTTGTGAAGTTTAATACATTTAAGCACATCTCTGTATAATAGTGTGAAAGTGAAACCATCCCTTTTAGTGGGAGCAGGTTTTCTATCTATGAAGCCCATATAATTTGCTTGGCACCACCTCAACTGACTGGAGGCATTTTCCACGTTTCACTTCTCAGATTGGGCAGGAGAATATAGAGAAGTGAATCTGATATAGTTTTAGGAGAAATAAATGCTATTTCACATTATTTTAGTGATCTTAAGTTGACATCACCTTCTGTCATTAAATTACATTTGACCATATGTAGCTTCATGCACATAATTCTGATATTTGTGTTGTTGTTCTTTTTTTAATTCTGTTTTTTTTTTTTAAATTTCTGTTCTTTTAGGGTTCCAATATGTGTTTGTGCGGCATGGAAAGGACTTACATCTGGATATAGGGAGATCTGTTGTACTAGACAAAAAAACAGATTTGATCTGGAAATTTAATAAAACTAACAATGTAGCTAAATGTGCTTTTAATAATGATCCAGTTGTGTTTGACAAATATGAAGGAAGGGCTGAGCTCTTCAGGCAAAATTACTCTTTGCTATTAAAGAATGTACAACACAGTGACAGTGGAGATTATACTGCATTCATGGTTAGCAATGAAGACCAAAAGGTAGCTGAATACAAGGTCATAGTCCAAGGTAGGTTTCTTTTTTAATCTTTTTGAAATATTGGTCAGGCATAGACCAGTTTTAAATCTCTTCATGTCTGTTCCTCTTCAGATCCAGTGTCTCCAGTTAACCTGACAGTGGACTCTGTGTCTGGCAGCTCAGAGTCCTGTGTCCTTGCTGTGACCTGCAGCACAGTGGATTCATCCATCCACCATTCTTTTAGATGTGATGACAAAAACTGCTCTCAGGTCAAAGAAAGGACATTTAAACCCACAAACTATTCATCCTCTTTCATTGTCTACCTCCAGCAAGACTTTATCCTGTGTAATCACAGCAACCAAGTTAGCTGGGAATACAATAAGATCAAGTTTGACTGCAAGGCAATTACAGGTAAGTATAAGAGCAATGATGATATGAATGATAAATCCACTTTAGCATTTTATTTATCCTAAGGATTTTGTCTGTTTCCAGGTAAATTCTCAAAACCTCCCGTGTTTGGTTTGGTGAAGAATTCTAGTGTAGTTAAAATAGTGTTTCCTTTACACGAGCCATAACCCACCGATTTTTCAAGAATTTGTAAAAGTTTTCGCATCCTGTTCTGATCCTGAATACCATGCATTTGCCATTATGGTCTACCCTCACTTTGAAGAAGCAAACATACCATTTTGTGTATGCAAATGTTTATGACACTAATTTGTTGTAGTAAATTGGCACAGCAGTAGATATGTTGTTTAATAGTTGTTATTAGAAAAAAATCACAATTACTGAAATAGCCACTGAAAAACTCTAACAGAGCTCAAAAGGTTTTAAACCAACCACCACATTTGCAAAAGTTGAGTGCTTGGGCTTTTAGAGCAAGTCTACCCTAAAAGAAATAATTGTACAGTTATTGCAATGTTTCTAACCGTTTCTAACCCAATGTTTTGGTTTCTTTACAGTTCACAGCAGAGCCACCCTAATTCAGATTTCAACTTCAGTTGGTCTCTTTCTCTTGTCTGTCTTTATTGCCCTTTGCATTGTCACAAAATGTAAGTCCCAGTCTGTTTTTAAGCAGCAACAACAGTGAATCTACACTAAATACACAGAAATCTAGCATTGTATTAAAGCATACACTTCATGCACAAAAGCATTCCTTGTATGATTCTGCAATGCCATAAGAATGATTATAGTGCAGCTGAAATTATGTTTTGGTAAAGCAGTATACATTTGTTTGGTATAAGGTTTTACAGATTCAATTGTCACTTGAAACAGTGGTGGCCCTGAAAAGTCGAATGCAGTGCAACTTCAGAAAACACAAGCAAATAGAAAAATTCTGCGAAAAAAATCAAAAAAGAATTAAAATAACAAGGAAAATAATGCAAAGATCATCTTTCAGTGGGCATGAAAGACTACATGTATAAATGCTAGTTTACACCAAGTTTTCCCGTGTCAGTGTATTTACTGGTAAAGAGACAAAGAGTGAAAATGGGCAGTATATCCTTCCCAAAAAGGTGATTCTGTTCATCTGGATGTGGGAGAAATGTTTTGTCATTCATCCAAGTAATGTCTTCAGTTTCTCATGAGAATGCCCACTTATTGCAGACTTTCCTTACCTGGATGATTGAGCATGCATCAAGAAGCAATATATCCTTGATTTGTTAACACAGAAGTTATAGTTGCACCACGGGGCAGTACAGAAATGTCCTCTTTAAACTGATTTCTATTTTTAGTCTTGTTATGTTGCCCTGAGTTATTGGTTGTGTTATTAGTAAGGTAACATATAATAATGTAAGTCTATTGACCGCAACCAACCAACCAACCTGATGCTGTACTGTAATGTTCTGTACTGACAGAAGATGGCGGTAAAAATTTTAAACACTTCATTTTTTTATACAGACTCTATACATGTAGTTTTTCATCTCCACTTTAAGAGAAGTAACTGTATTATTCCATAGCAGAAATCTTTGTTACATTTTGAAGGTTATTCCAGGACCAATGCACAAAATAGGAGAACTCTGTTCTACTAAATTCTGAAAAAACTATTTGTAGAGGAGCAAGCTAGAGGAGTGACAGACAAACTAAGTTTTTGTAAGTCATATGACAGTTCACAGATAAGAAGGGTGTTCAGCTAGAAAAGAACTGTGAATTAAAATATAAGATTGACGGAAGCCTACAGACACAACAGTGTTGTGTCTGTAGGCTTCTTAGTCAGTAATGTGTAGTTCACAATGGATTTTATTTATAAAGTAAACTATATTAATAATAAGATACAGCCACTCAGTAACTCACTAAGTTTCTCACTTACCTGGAAGCATCTGCTGATTTGTACTTTATGTAACTTCCACTACAAGAATTCGTATTCATTCTATTCCACCTAAAGGAGCCCACAAAATTCTTGCATAATTGTACAATATATGATAAAATTATTTTGACAATAATATTTATCTAACATGATATTTTGGATTTTTTTCTAGAAAATCACACCGGACAAATATTGTAATCAGATTCTCTCAGGAGTGCCCTAAAGGATGATGGATGAGTTCAAACAAAAAAAATATTTATAGATTTGTCATAAACACTGGGATGTTGATGGACAAGAATACACATTATATAGCAAGAAAGGAGGAGGACAGGAAAATGCAGCCTATGTAGTAGCATTAAAATGACATGTGTAAACCTAATAATACTTTTTAAGTTATCACTAACAACTGTTATTGAAAAGGTTACAGTTCTAACAAATGTATTATTATTTATACTCAAATCAACAACAGTATATTTTAACTTCAAAGTAAAAGTACTGTAAGTACACTCTTGTATCATTTATCAGGTAATGACAGTAGACTAAGGTGAATTTCATGTACAGTCTGTGAAAAAAAAAAAACCTTTTAAAACTTACATGGTTACATGCACTAAAGAAATTATCCTGTCACCACAAGTTTACCACACGATTTATTAAATACACCTTGGACATTTCTGTGTTGGACCCTTTTGTCTCAGTTCATAGAATGATTTTTAATCTTTTTTTGGTGAACACATGCAAACTATAGCCTCTGTTTCCTGTTCTTAGCTGACAGGAAGGGCAAACAGTGTGGTCTGCAGCTGTAAGCCATCTGCTTCAAGTTTTGATGTGTTGTGTGTTCAGACATGTGCTTTTGCATATCTTGGTCGTAAAGGATGGTTATTTAACTAACCAGTCTAATCAAACTTCTCAAAGTGTGTAGAAAAATCTTAGCAGATCATCAGTTTATGAAGTGCTCAGACCAGCCTGTCTGGCACATTTTTGTCTTGGAAATTTATCATGTTTTTTCTTTTCCCCCCATAATCCACACAATTTCAAGTTTTTGCTTTAAGTGATCCTAATACTGTTAAAATTTCTTATTATACCTATGGGGATTGAGTCTTTCTGGAGCAAATTTCAGCTTAGTCTATATCTTAATTTAACAAATATGAAACTGTGTAAGTGAAGCAGACTACTGTTGATCCGAATCAAACTCAACATTTCCAATATTAGGTTGAACATTTTGGTACGTAGAAACATTTCATTTATTTATAATCTTTTACTGTAAAAGATTTATACAGTAGGAATACAATGTAAAAAACAAAAAAGTGACAATGAAAGAGAAAGCTCAGAAGAGAGGAGAGTCATTCTTTGTATTTATGTCACTGTCGTCACATAGAGGTTTTAGTCTTGGGACAACCCACACAGGCTGTGTGCATCACTGCTGAAAATCTTGAATGAGGAAGTTTGCACTTCCTGATTTTCACAGAAGGTGTGAAGATGGCACGTATTTTATTTTGGGGAGTTCTTTTGCTGCTTTCATTTGAAATACAAGGTAAACACTTATTTTACATTCTAATTATTATTATATTTTTATTAGTATTATTTTGTACACTAATATGTCAAAGTGATTCGTCTCCTTTGCTTTTTGGAATCTGGTTTTGTACTATAGCACTAAATTGTTTGTAAAAGGCAAACAACAAATGACATATAATAAATAATTGTCAGGGAGGAAGAAAGTCAAATAAATACAGTGAAAAATGAATACCAGGCAAGAAAATCGGTATTGAAATTACAATAATTACATTGCAATAAGTATGCTTTTGACATATTAACAAATGAAAAATCAGACTGATTTTCAACATCGATGTTTCTGAACTATGAATAATGGTAACATGGGGCTGGTAAGTGCTGACTATCTGCTCGATTTCTTTGTGTTATTTTTACATTCTTTTCCCAAATCAATTTGGCTGAAGTTGAATTAAAATTTAGTTTTATCCGGCCCCTTTTTCACCAGAGAGGTGACGTTCCATGTCCCAGGCTAGTCTTGGTAGTCAGTCCACTTCTTCTTCAGTAACTCAACAAACCATGTAGTGCAAATAAACAAAATTCCCTTAATGGTTTTTTTTGATAAACGCTGAAGTACTGTACTCCACTCAAAACCAGTAGAACACAAATTCACAAAAAGTGTCTGATATTAAACCGAAAACTGAAGCAGCCATGTTCACATGTTGTAAAAAGATAATATGTGTCTCTCTGTCACATAGGCATACACACACACACACACACACACACACACACACACACACAGAGGAATGCGCACACACACACACAAACACACACGCACGCACGCACGCACACACACACACACACACACACACAGATGTCAGTTGCTGACATCTATCTATTTAAGTTGGTTTCCTCTTCTTTTCTCTTGTCAGTATCACTTCTCTCCCTCTGTCTGTGTTTCCACCCGTAACTTTGCGTTATCCATGTGCAACTGTGAGCTAGAACTGGAATAAGCCACATATTATATAATCATTTTAGAATAATTTGGACATCATTTGGCAGAACCCCTGTTCAACAGGTTTATTTTTAAATGCAATGTTTTCATTACGATTTTGATGAACAAAAGACTGTAAGAGGGAAATTTCCATGAGTGCCAGGTCAGGGTCACGTCACTCTTTTCTGTTTATACTTCCCCATTGTAACTGGCTAATGCCCGCTTGTTCCACTTCTTTGGAACTACTGTAGTCTCCGTACCCAGCTGAGTTCAGAAGAAATTACTAGCCTTGAGAGCAGGGAGAAAGGGGCCAGTGTAGAGACCTCTGTGTCGTAATCTACCAAATGTATATATTTTTACTTGATTCAAATATACATTTCATTAAACATATATTTTTAATATATATTTCAAAGCCAGAAGTTAAAAGACAATACAATTCTGTGTCATGATTACCACAATCTGACATCATGGCACAAAGCTTTTTTTTTTTTAACTGGAAGCCAAAAAGAGGACAGTTAGCAGGAAACTGGAGCACCAGACCTGTGAGAACTGACAGCAGAGGGGACCCAGGAAGAGCAGTCAGGGGAGAAAGGCAGGGCAGGAGCAGGGGTGGCCCAGAGCTTTAAAACCATTTGCAAGTCTTCTCTTTAATGTTTCTATAATTTCCAGTGGTCATGTACTCTCAGATATGCTCTGATGAACTTAACTTCACATTGATAGTTGTATTTATTTACTTCCTCTGAAAAAAGGAAACATTAGACCAATGCATTTCTGCAGCTTCGTTGCTGTGAAATTATGGTAATCATAGCAAGTAGAATCATCTACAATATTAACTCGGCTACATGAGTACCACGTTTTTGTACTGCACTCCTGCAACAATGCTTTACAAACTGCTACAAGCACAAATGCAAACATCAGGCAGACAGACTGTGGGTTTCTCTTTGGTCATCTGTGTACAAGCTTGACTGAACTTCCTCTTATAGTTAGTTTTACTGTGACAACTGACAGATAAAATACTATTTCTGTATGAAGCAACAGTATATAGCAGTATGTCATAAAATGGGTGATCACATATGCTGAATGACTCCTTACAACAAAGTAAAATCAACAGAAACAGCATGATTACTGATCAAAGTTAAATGTGAAATGCTGCATAATAATATATAATGCTGATATTACAACTGAGAAGTGGTTAAGTGTGTGGTCACAGCTGTGAGACTGCAAGTAGATGAAGAAGCACATATGAGACTCTGATAGCTGTGAGATAAACTCCAATGTCTTAAGCTCCAACTAAAAATAAACACCAGTGTCTTCACTTTCTAATTTAATTCTGTCAGCAGTCACGAACTACATGGATGCTAAAATTATTCTACCGAGAAAAATATTTTTATTACCTCCTCTTTCTGAGTACAAACATTTATGCTTTGAGAGTGAAGTATGTTTTAGATGAACATTCAACTTAAAAAAACAGAGTTAGAAGAACACACACAAACAATTGATGGACACTATATATATATATATATATATATATATATCACTGCAGACATATGCAAGCAGTGGATGGTCTGCAATTTTAGATCCTAAATGAGAAAATGTGAACAATATTACAGTAATACAGTATAAAACTTTATAAAACTGTAAACATAGAATGATGAATACCTACAGGAACAGTTTTAAGTTTGACAGCAGTTTCCATTTCAAACATGTTGTGAAGTCATCACTAGTTTAGTTATCATTATCTGTTATTCCTTTAGATCAGTTTGAGTACATATGTTGACAAAATGACAAAAAAGGGAGAACAATTTGATCTTCCTGGCCAATGTTACTTTGACATGTGAAGAGAAAGCAAAACGATCAAAGTTTGGCATCAAAGTGTGAAAGAAGAGTGAACTGAATGAACACAGCCTTTTTTGTTTTTCTTAAGGAACATGATAGATAGATTTTGCAATTCTACTAATATTTCAGTTTCATTAATCTTTATTTAATCTATTATAGGTATTTGTTGTATCTTACAAAAAAAGCCCAAAATGCACACATTTGTGGATGTCAGCAAGAACTGAAACAAAATAAGCAAATGATAAATGTAAGGAAATCAGCAGCTCAGTAGCTGTGGGGCTTTTGTCTGTTGAAGGAAATAACAGTTGAATCACATCTTTAAATTTAGTCACAGCACTGTCAGATAAACTTCCAGTTTAATGAAAAAAAGTCCCCGGTGCTCGTTATTTCATTTTTGTAAATGCAAATGATAAATAATAATTTTTTAAAAAGATAAGATAAAAGAGCGTTTCAAGAAATACTGTTTGATGTTCAAGCAGACACTTAGGGTCTGAAAGGCTAAGAGTAAGGATTTAAAATGTTTTATAACTTTATCTCAGTCTTCATTTCATTTTTAATGGTTGATTCCTTCATTGGTGATTTTTGGTTTGGCTGGACATATTCTGTACAGGTTTGAGGGTTGCAGCTTCCCTCTTCCTCTCATGGAGGGAAGCAGAGAAGCTTCCTGAGACAAAAAAGTATCTGGTTATTTTGGTTAGTTTCATAAATGTTGACAACTCTAGATATTAGAGGTGCACCATCTAAAGTTGGGTGGAAGCCATAATTTCCAATAGGATTTTCACGAGAAAGCCCACATTTTATTGTTGTAAATGTTTTGAAACCTAGACAACCAGTGACTGAAGGACGATGTTTGGCATAGCATGTGCTACATGTGATCGCAAGTCAGGTTGGGGAAGGGAGTAGGAAAAACCACAATCAAACATTTTGGCAGTTACACACAAATCTATATTAATATGAGAGATCTTTGATGTAAGGGTGTTTTATTACAGCTGAATAAAATTTTAATTATAAACATATAAATATAAACAGATGATGTAACTATGTTGACTAAACAATAATAAAAATAGTTAAGAAAAAAATTCTGAGAAAGTATCTACTGTATTTAATTTAAGGAGTTCCAGTTGCATGTTAATAAGAGGATTCTGACATCAGGTTTGTTGTTTTTCTTTTAGGGCTCCGACATGTGTTTCTCCTCCGTGGAAAGGACTTACACCTGGATGTAGAGAAATCTGTTGTACTAGACAAAAAAACTGATTTATTATGGAAAGTTAATAAAACTAACAATATAGCTAAATGTGCTTTTAATAATGATCCAGTTGTGTTTGACAAATATGAAGGAAGGGCTGAGCTCTTCAGGCAAAATTACTCTTTGTTATTAAAGAATGTGCAACACCATGACAGTGGAGAATATACTGCATTCATGGTTAGCGATGAAGACCAAAAGGTAGCTGAATACAAGGTCATAGTCCAAGGTAGGTTTCTGTTTTCATTATCTTTTAGAAATGGTGATACTACTTAGACCTGTTTTAAATCTCTTTATGCCTGTTACTCTTCAGATCCAGTTTCTCCAGTTGACCTGAAAGTGGACTCTGTGTCTGGCAGCCCAGACTCCTGTAACCTCACTGTGACCTGCAGCACAGTGAATTCTCAAATCAGAAGCATTTTCACATGTGTTGCCCAAAACTGCTCTCAGGTGGAAGAAAACAGTTTGAAAACCCCAGATTATTATTCGTCTTTAATTGTTTACCTGCATGGAGACTTCATCATCTGTAATCACAGCAATAACGTCAGCTGGACAGACAGTAAGACTAAACCTTACTGTGAGACAAGGACAGGTAAGTTTAAATGCCGTAAAGACATGAATGACTGATTTAAATCATACCAATTTAAAGAGTTTATGCAGCAGAACAAAGAAGTAAAACTAATTTTTGATCTTTAAAGACTTCATCGCTTTATATTGATCTATTCATGTTTTTCTGTTGAAATAGAAGGTATTAAACTCTCAAAACACTAGAAAACACCAGTCTGGTTTCTTTTTCCCTGATTTGTCTTCCTTCCCATGTATTTTTTTGTCTAGTTCAGCCAAATCTGTGTTTGTTTACCTTTCTTTGTATTGTATATCTTAATCCATGTCTCAGTGTTGGTCATTTGCTGTTTTATAGCCTGTGTCCCGTTTCCTGTGTGCTAAATGTTCAGTTTTGCTCCCCTTGTCTCATTCATCTGTGATTAGTGTCAGCTGAGCGTCCCTCTGTTCCTTGTTTCAGTCTCTCTCACTCACCGTGTGTCCTGTGTTCCATTCTAGTTCGTAAATTCCTGGTTTCTGTCCAGTCATTCTCACCACAGACATGCCGTTAACCAAGGTGAAGATCTAAAAAGGATTTGCAGCTTTCCATTAACAGTCATAGAAGTGTATGAACATTTCTAAATCTAATCACCTTTGGTTGGTGATTTTTGATTGGTAGTCAAAAACCTTTTGAGATTTAACACAAAGTGTTTGTGCTTCTGGTGTGATGATTCTGCCATTACAGAAATAACTGCAATTTTAAAATGACAGATTCTCGTCAGATTGTTTGTGATGTAATATTTTGTTTTCTTTACAGTTTCAAGCGCAAACATAATAATCGCAGCTGCTAGTGGCCTCTGTGGTTTCATTTTCATCATTGTCATCATTTGCATTGTCGCAAAACGTGAGTCGCAATTTGTTTTTTCAGCAAAAACAGTCAAATAAGAATTGTTGCTACTTTAAGTACACTGACATCTAATATAATATGTTAGTATGCACTTAATGGGGCGATCGTGGCTCAAGAGTTGGGAGTTCGCCTTGTAATCGGAAGGTTGCTGGTTTGAGCCCCGGCTTGAATAGTCTCGGTCGTTGTGTCCTTGGGCAAGACACTTCACCAGCGCCAGTGTTCGGCAGCCTTGCCTCTGCCAGTGTACCCCAGGGTAGCTGTGGCTACAATGTAGCCTCCCATCACCAGTGGGTGGATGACTGGATGTGCAAAGTGCTTTAGGGTCCTTAGGGCGCTATACAAGTACAGGCCATTTACCATTTTAATATACATAAAAATACTCCATGAAAACAAAGAAAGTCGAGCCCAAATGTGGTACAATAGTATGGATCTGCTTTGTAAGGCGTTTTAAATGTGAATGTCATTTTTATTCAGAATGTCTGTTTAAGTTAACCTCACCTCTTCAAAAAGTGTTCAATTAGGTGACGCATTGGTTCTCAAATTTCCCCCAATTTCTCACTTATGAACAAATGAGCAAAGATTAGCAATCAAATCAGCTGTAAGGTTTAAAATCTATGTATCCTAATTATCCTGTCTAGATTACTTTCGTGAATGAATTGTCTTCAAAGCTTCGTGGATCCTCACAGCGAAAATGAGTCTAAAAAAATGGTGTCCCTCAGTAAGGCAATATAGGCTGGAGAAGATAAAATTAGAAATAAAGCACTGAGTTGCTGCTACATTTGAACTAAAACATACAACTGCTTTAAAATGTTAGGTAAGTAATGCACATTCACAGGCAGTGCTGGGGAGATTACTTTTAAAATGTATTCCACTATAGATTACAGAATACATGGCCAAAAATGTATTTTGTAACGTATTCTGTTAAGTTACTCAATGAGAGTAACGTATTCGGAATACTTTGGATTACTTGATATATTATCATGCTTTTTGCAACTACATGAATGTACTATATCTGTGTGATTTATTACTATCGCTGAAGGTTAATCACCACCGAGCTAACATTTTTAGCTGGCGTTAGCTGAGGTTAGTTCATAGACCGCAGACTGTTAGATTTGATGGATAGCATTAACAACCTGTTAGCAGCAAATAACCATGTGCAGTTCTGAAAGCAATGCCAACTAGATTTTTAAATCTTAATATAAAATGAGTAACACTAGGGTGGACATTAGGTAAGGCTGCACTTTTTGCAGTGATCTTGTATAGAAAACTATTTCTGTATCAGTAATATGTTTTCTTTCTTTCTGCTTTCAGAACTGCACATGGTTATTTGCAGCTAGCAGGTTGTAACGCAGCCTTCATTAATAGTCTTTTGATGCTGAGAGTAGCTTGGCTGATAGCAAACAGAGTCAGTCCCATTTTTCTTTAAATGTGAAGTGAAATTTCCAAGTAAGAAATGCATTCCTGCCCATGCACTGCTGGCTCTGTTTTACTGGCTTCAGGTCCACCATGTAACTGACACCACCAACATTAACAGGACGCTTATATTAGAGCCTCTTATTGCATGTTTTGTTTGGATTTCCTGCAATGTGTGGATTTACCAAGATTAGAGAGGGGATAGCCTAACATATGAAACGGGAAAAGACCGCTGTGTAATCCATTTATTTCAACAAAGTAACTGTATTCTAATAAGCGGTAGCTGCAATGGAATGCAGTTACTCATATTTTATATTTTAAATACGATATGCCGGTACATGTATTCTGTTACTCCCCAACACTGTTCACAGGAGGGTAAAACTGTAATTGGACTGAATTGTGGGGTTGAATTTAATCCCACTCGGATAAGAAATTTGAATTTGGCTGAGAGAAAAACCACCACAAAAACACACGTATACACATAAAACAACAAAAAAACAGACACAACTGAAATCTAATAATGCGACCTGTTATCTAAATATTTGGTACCGGCTAAAGAAAGAGCAGTTAAAAGCTCTGATTTTTAGTGTATTTTTTCCTAGATGTGAAGCCACTTTGCCACTTTTGTTGCTGCTGTTTATTTAAACATTCACATTACTCTGTGAAGTGCAGCATTCAAGCCAACTCTGCTTGGACAAATATGTGGCAGAAAATATTTTGTGCCTTTTGCCCTAAAACCCAACTGGGATAAGTTCAAAGTGTTGGCTTTGAATATCACATTATCTGTATCTCACCTGGTTTCCAGTTGTTGTGTGTTGTGGAGCTGTCTGAGCTCCACCCACATCATCAGAACATTGGATTGGATACAAGTACTGCATGAAACACGTTTTGACCAGTAATTAATTAAAACTACTCTTTTAAAAAACAAACAACAAAACACCCCTGCAGACAGCTCCTTTTTTTTTTGCTGTCTTGCATCTGTGTTTATCGATGCAGCGTCTGCAGTTCTCTCAAGAAAAAAAAAATACTGCTAATCCCACCTGGTTAAATAGCATTAAATAGTTTAAATATTTTTAAAGAATTAATTGTTAGTTGTTAATTGCTGCCTTCTATTAACATGTCCGAGACATAACTGTGGAAAAAGAAGGGACCACAGTTACTACAGACCCTTAACCAGTTTGTTGTTCATGACTACAGTAATGAGTAATATTATAATACATGAAAACCCACTAAACCTCATCTCTTCACCAATATTATAGGAGAGATACATGACATTAAGACTGTTGCATGTAGAATAGCACCAAGCATTAACAGTAAATATATTTTCTAAGGGTGAAAGTTATTTAAAAGAAAAAAGGAAATTCATTTTGACCAATAAAGATCGATGATTTTATTTAATTTATTTACAGACTGATCAGTTCACTGTATGATAACAGGACAGGGGTGTATTAGTTCTCTGTAGCTAACATGAACTGATCTGGAGTCAATGTTATTTCCAGCGAGGAATTTAGACGTTTCGGTGGAAGATATGTGCTGTAAGTAAATCTGTATTTACTGTGACTGGCTTGCAGGTAACCGAAGGAACCAGGAAAATCAACTGTATGAGGCTGCTCAAGTAAGTGAACACTTTTTCTTAAGAGAAAAAAGAAAGAAAATATCTGATTCAGCTTTATTTTAAATTCACTTCAAATTCAGAATAGTTTAATGAGCTAACACACTAGTGTTATGCGCCTGCCCAAAATCAACCTCCATCTTCTTTCTTCACTGCTCCACCCAGTTTGTTTGTTTTTTAACAAAACACTTTGGATTTGTTTCTAGGAGCATCCTCCAGGCCAAACTCGAAATGAGAATGTTCCAGGAGATGCCTCGAGTCTTTCCCCAACATCTACTTATGCCCTCGTGGCGTTTCACCCTAAAACAGAATCCACAAAGTCCAAAAAGATTCCACAGCCAGAGACGGTGTATGCTCAGGTTACCAGAGCCACCAGGCCCAGAGTCACTGCCCAACAAACAGAGCTGGAGAACATCAGCAGTATAAATTCACAAGGCTAAACACATATGAACTATGAACACTTGAACTCTGCTTTTTTTTTCTTCTAAAATGTTGGCACAGAGGACATGTTGGATCAAATTTATCACCTGTTTAAAACACAAATGAACTGAATATTTTCTTAATGTTTTCAAACATTATCCTTTTTTGTAGTAATATCTTTGTGTTTTAGATGGTGATGTTTTACTGTGAAGTACAATATTTTGTTTTTAGAGCTATATGCTTGAATCTCTTTTTCTTTTTCTTGTTTTTTGAAGTCTTCCTGAATAATGTAGTGCACATAATCTTTATCAATAATTATTGTTATTTTTTTTATATGTGTTGCAGACTATAAATAATACTTAAAGTTAATACATTTCAAGTTTTCTTTTTATAGATCTAAACCAGGGGTGTGAAATATAAGACTCCAATCCAGCCCACTGGGAGCTTTTAAAAATGTGAAGGAGGGCATAAATTTTGGACTGTCGAATATATTTCAGTTGTTTTGCCTTGGCGTTATATAAACTAAAATGAATTGGTTTGGCACACTTATCAAAGTGGGCTGGATGTGGCCAACACTGTAAGATGTGTTCAAAATCCCCGATCTAAACTTTATGGAGAAATGTATTAAATCAATTCCTCATTAGGAAGACTTTGTTAGTTAACAGCCACCTTAAGTTTGTTGTGGAACAGCTGCAACAGAAAAACTTTCTTTGTAATTTATATTTATTACAGAAAGCAAGGCATGGGAAGTCAGCAAAACAAGAATAAAGTCTGGAGGTATACAGAAAAATCTTAAACATTTTTCTACTGGAATTTTCAAAATTAAATTCTAAATAAGTGTATATAATAAGAATCTGTCTGGTTGTTCTGACCAAATGTCACATGTCTAATGGAGTTTCCCCATATTTACCCTCATGAGTACATGCTACTGCCAGTCGGTACATTTGGTTTCTTGATAAAGATGACATGTCCAAAAGATCAGATCTCTTCCTTTTTTACGACTCAGACTGAATGCCTTTGTCCTCAAAGGTCATAGTGAAGTACACACATACACCCAAAGCTAAAAGTACATAAGACAGAAAAAAGGTTTTCATTGCCTTCATGTTTTGTTTTTTTAATTTAGCTGTTGTACCAGGGAACTAAATTGTTTTCGTAAAAGTCAAATGTAAAGTAGACATTAACAAAAAACATGTTTTGCTTTTGAAGAGGTTTTACAAGAATAAATTATGAGAAATGTTTCAATTAATTTATCCGGAAGAATATTTTGAAAATAAATATTTTGAAACTGATTAGTGGTGAAAAATACCATGTTCATCATTTAAAGATAATGTTTTTATTGTCAAATATATTGGAATCACATGTTTGGCCTTTTACCAGCCAAACGGAGATATATTACAATACTGATGTCAGTTGTTTCATGAAGTCTGAGTTTCTCTTTATTTCTCTTGTACAGGAATATACTTGTACCAAAAAACGACAAGAAAAACTCATCTTATTTAAAGCATTTCTGTAATTGTCTGTTGTGAAGTTAGAACTTCATATTTTCATAAACATTTCAAGTCTTTTTACCTGATTGGCTTTTTGATTTTCAAGAATCAGATCTAAAAATGGAACCGTTGATTTCTGCAAACACAGAGTCTGTTGCTGATTCCTTCTACTAAGTTTCTTTCACTCTCTTTATGTCTGTTTCCTCCGCCTCCTCAGGAACAAAAGCACTCTACTCAGCAACCCTCCTCTGGCACTCTCTGATTAATTGACAAAGTTAGCACTGCGGCTGGTATTTATCGACTCGTTGTGAGAGAGGGCAACCTTGACCCAATAAATTATCAGAGATATATTGTTGTAAAATCATGGTAGTAACATTTAGCAGAATCATGTGCAATAATGACTGTTAGGTGAGTGACAAGTATTTGTACTGCACTCTACACACAGGTACAACAGCAAGCACAAAGTGAAACGTCAAACAGAGAGATGTGTAGGTGTATTTAAACCCAACTTTATGCAGACAGGAAGTCTCTGCTTGACTGAACTTCCTTTAAAGACAGACTGTAAAACGTAAATGCAACACACCCTGCATGCTGTATGAAACAGTACATGCAGTATATTATAACATTGGTTGTTACATCTACATGCTAACTCCTTACAACTGAAGGAGATGAATAAAAGATTATTACTATAGTTCAGAAAGTAAATATTAAATGCATATATCACATTTATCACATTTCACGCAATGTTTAGTTTGTGGCTGTTAAGAACTACAGTATACCCCAAAGAAGTTGTGGTTCAGTTTGCTGCCTCAGTCCTTTTCCTTATCATGTACACACAGACACACAAAATTCAGACATTAGAACAGTCTCTTTTACTACTCATTTAACATACTGATCAAAAGGCAAACAGTTGTCCCTTCTATTTTCCCTGGTGAATTTCATGTTTCTATCCACTGAGTTGATGTGAACAGCGAAGGCTTCTACTTCTTGGGTTTTGGTTTTAACCCAGGTTTCCTCCACATCTGTACCGGTGGCTAGGTGCTGTCACTGTGAAAGAGCCCAAAGATCTACTTTCACTTCCTCCGTGTCAAGGCTACTTACAATGAGTGGCACTTTTGTCAGTAAAAACCCTTGTTGTATTTAAAATGAGTGGTGCAAAGGCAGAGTTCTAACAGCAAATCTGATTGGAGGGAAAATATCCTAGCTCCGATAGTGGCGCGGTGCTAGGAAATGTTGTTGGTGGCTGAGTTTATTCTGCTAATTATGAGTCTGAGTGGTACTCCTTCTTTGTGGATCTTTATAAGTCCATATACACAGGCTATAGCATCCCCTGGGTACAGATGGTTATACTTAGAGCAGTCAATGGCTTTATCCTATGCAAGTTAATGCTTGTGGGCTCTCATAGGTATTGTCACTGAGGAGTGTAGTAATCGTGGGAAGATAATCAGCTGAGCTGAATACAACAGTGCACCTCCCTTCGTCAGCTGGTAATATGTTAATGTTTTGGTCTTTCCACGGGGAGGTGACGGCCTTCATTTCTTGCATTGTGAAATTGCACAGAGGAATTCAATCACTTGGTAATCGTGTTGGACAGGTGGGCAGACCAGCTCAAAAGTAACACACTGCCCTCTTCTGGTGAGGTTTAAGAAACACATTTGCCTCAGGAGCAAATCCTCAAACATTTTCATGTTTGAGGATTGGGTTTAACTAATAAATAATCATGAATGTTTTCTTGTCTTTAAATGTACCGTATGATGTTGGCTTGAGTGCATTGTTACATTTCTTATGCACAACTTTGTGTTTTCATTGTATAAGATAAAGAAACAGGGATTTATTTTTTAACCAAAGCTGCTACAAGTGAAAAAACAAACAAGCACAGAAGTTTTCTACATAAGACTGAGCTTTATATACATTAGAAAGGTTTATTTTTGCTTCTTTTTCTTCTCCATGAGATGCACACTGATGACAGCAATCACCATGATAATCAGACCGACAGAGAACACGACTGTCTTCACCACACAGACGGAGACACCATCTGAACCTGCAACACAGGAAAACAGACAGATTTCTCACAAAATGAAAACAGCATATCCAAACAGCTAATCCAAACGTTGAACAACAACAGAGCCCAAGTTCTAAACCACTAATTTCTCTAAAAAATGTGAATAGCAGTTTGTGAACTTTGTTACTGACCAAACTTTTTATTTCCAAATACAGGAAAGGTATCGCAAAGTTTCCGTGAATAAGCTTGCGCAATAGCAGATTTGACAACAGATAAGTTACTCAGACCAACAACAATTATTGTAAGATGTTAAATTTTTGTTTTGACTTCAATAATAATCTCACCAGAAGAGATATCTTTTTGTTCATCAAAAGTAAGTTGTTAGTCCAACACATTTGGTGACATATCTGCGGGTGGGGACAATTTACTGATGGTCTTACCTGATTTTGTTTCACAGTACGGCTTGATCACCTTCTTGTTCGCTTTCCAGCTCACTTTGTTGCTATGATTACAAAAGATGGTATCTTGCTGCAAGTAAACAGTCAGAGAATAAAAATATTTTGAGACGTTTAAGCTCTTTTCTTCCACTTGCAGGCAGTTTTGGGCATCACATCTAAAAATGCTGCTGATGTTAAACTCCAATGTGCTGCAGGTCACAGTGAGGTTACAGGAGTCTGAGCTGCTGGAAAGATGGTCCACTGTCAGCTCAGCACGAGATACTGGATCTGGGGAATAAAAAAAACTGTGAATGGATGTTTCTGATGTATCAACATTTAAAAATTGTACTGGCAAGAGAAACATACCTTGGACTATGACCTTGTATTCAGCTATACTTTGCTCTTGTCCTCCAACCACAACTGCAGCATAATCTCCACAGTCGCTGTGTTTTACATTCTTTAATACCAAAGAGAAATTTTGTCCAAAGACCTCAGCTCTTCCTTCATAACTGTCAAACAATATTGCTTCTTTATTATAACAAATTTTACCAACATAATTAGTAATATTATACTTCCAGAAAAAGTCAGTCTTTTTGTCAAGTACAACAGATTTCTTTACATCTAGGTGTAAATCGCTTCCATGAAGGAGAAACACGTTTCGGAGGCCTAAAAGAACAGATAAACAAAAATGTGTTGTCAGAATCATGTCATGTTCACCTGTGATTCCTTACTTTTACCAGATACAATAATGAAAATGAAAACAAAGGCTTGAAATAATACATGCACAATGAATTGAGAATACACAAAAATCATTTTTGTTCATGAAACCATGAACAAAAATTACTTTTTAATGAGATGTGTCAGAATATGAAGATCTTTTTCTACATTCTGTCTGTTAAAAGTGCTGCTTTGTGATTTGAGAGTCTTGAGAATTCATTAGTTATTATTAGTAATATTATATACATGAGTGCAGAATTATTAGGCAAATGAGTATTTTGTCCACATCATCCTCTTCATGCATGTTGTCTTACTCCAAGCTGTATAGGCTCGAAAGCCTACTACCAATTAAGCATATTAGGTGATGTGCATCTCTGTAATGAGAAGGGGTGTGGTCTAATGACATCAACACCCTATATCAGGTGTGCATAATTATTAGGCAACTTCCTTTCCTTTGGCAAAATGGGTCAAAAGAAGGACTTGACAGGCTCAGAAAAGTCAAAAATAGTGAGATATCTTGCAGAGGGATGCAGCAGTCTCAAAATTGCAAAGCTTCTGAAGCGTGATCATCGAACAATCAAGC